CAAAAGCTTATAGTAGATTATCTTAGTGCATGTGTGTGTGTTTTGTTTGGGGGTTTGGCTGGAGCAGTCCTCCAAAAGAAGCAGTTGCCTTGAAGCAATATGTGCACACAGCTCACACCGCTCCTCGTATCCCTCCACCTGCACCTTGTGCGTTTTCAATCTGCGATATCATTGGAATGAGTGGGTGGTTCTTGTGTGTGTAATGTGTGTGTGAGCGCAGCACCATATCATTACAGTGAGTAGGTGGTGTAACCAGAGAGAAAATATTGCGTGGGAGTGAAGTACCATTCAGGTGCACATGATTTTTGTGTGTTTTGGAAAGTGTTTTCGTGGTAATTATAACCCTTGTGGTCAGCGCACATTTCCCAGTAGATATGAATTCACTTGAATATGATACAATAAATCCCTGCTAATGGCTATTGGTGAAATCACAAAATGTGCTAGAAATTATATTAAAAAAAGATTCAAAAAGAAACCTTTTGAATTTCTCAGTCCTTCTAACCATCGATGCCACTTCTTTACTTCTTTTGCATGACTCAGAAGTGCAGTGAAAAATGAACCCTGTATGAAATACAAAAACTGTGGTTTACAGTTTTCTCCACGCTCATGTGTACTTCCCTAATGCATCAGTTATGTCATGTGGAAAGTAAAGTTATTCTGTGGCGAACAAAGTTTTGTAGTAAGAAGACAATGAAAAACAACCTGCTAATAACGGATGGATGAAAAACATCTTTTAGGTCACACTTCATTCAGTCTATAAAAAATTATTTCATTATGAGTCATAAACATAAATTATTTTGATTTATTTTAAGCCATGATCTGTGCCTAACCTTAAACAAATAATTTTAAATTCCTCACCTATGATATCATTGTTGTACAAAATATTATTACCTTATTATTATTTGTCCATTTGCTACTTTTTCAAGTAATGTTGGGAGCCTGGTGACCTGACTTCAGCTTGTTAATTAACAGGATTATCTTCATTAATGAGCTTTGTTTTGTTTGTTTCGACAGTGTTATCTTCCAAAGATAGATTTGTGGTTTAACAGTTTGATGAACAGCTTTCCTCATTTTGAAACTATTACTTTTTAAAACTGTGATTTAACTTATAATCGTAAACCATCATATCATCGCATCATGGTAAATCATAAAATCACCCTGCGATTCATCACGAACAACACTTTTTGAAACGACTATATGTTTTATGCCTTAAAAAGGTTTACACTTAAAGAAACCTAACTCAGAGTGCAAACAAATAATTCACCTTTATTGTTTAAACTTTAAACTATTTTAATAGTTTTGTACCCAACACTCAAATAATCTACCCCAACCTTAAAGTGTCCACTTGCTGCCATTTTACTGTTTAGCCTTTAATCATTGATATGGAGGCCAAATTTCTGTCCTAATTAACATTTTAATAAAAATATATGTCAGCATCAAGCAATGGCTCAGTTTACAACAAAACACAAATGCGACTTTTTAATTAGATATAAACTATTTCATTTAGTTGTCTTGTTTTGACTGCAGCTATCATTTGAAACTCTCTTGCACATTTAGTTGGTCTCTGAATCTGATTGGACAGACACACCATGCTCGATCATAAAGACCGTGTTTGGGTTTGTGATATTTTGAACCTCCTGTGTTCGTCTTGCCTACCAATGGAGCTGACATGCTGTAGATCCAGGTGGAGATGACAAGCCCGACGTGCCTCAAAGCTTTCTTGTTTTTGCACCGCTGGTTGTCATCAACCTGGAACGTGAAGCCAAGTCAACCTGTTTCGTCTCGTTACGCTTCTGATTGGAGAAGCTATCTTTGTTTTGTGCCTGAAAAATGTTGACTTTATTGAGCTCTCGATACGGCCTTCTATAAAATAGAAAAGCATTAACAAAGACATTAAACTGCACTGAACATTCCAACAATTTTCAGTCAGGTCATCAGGGCAGTTTCTTTTTTTGTGCTGAAACGTTTCACCTTCCATCCAGAAGGCTTCATCAGTCAAGGAAACACACAACACAAAACTGATTCTTTCCCCAACAGCTTACTCCAAAGTGGAACAAACCAGTTGTACACTGAACATTATATAGATTCAGAAGGATCCCCGTCTAAGAATAACAGCTGTTCAGGAGCGACAGTAAGAAAGTGTAGGTGGGGAAGACGGAGCCGAGAAAATCCTTTTTTATGTTTCCCATCATTAAAGCTTTTAATTATAGTGTGCTAATTGCTGCTTCTAAAAGTGAAGATCTCACCTGCTAAAAGTCACATGTAATTTACTCAAATATCAACAAAAAAAAGCCAAGTGAAAAATTGATTTTTCTTAAAAATCTGTAATTAGACGCATCAAAGTCATCTGCCAAAGACTGTAATATCATTTAATAAGCAAATAAACTTTGGCAAAAGTATATTTGCATTTGGAACTGATAAGTTCATATTATTGTACCATCTAAAGTTAGATAAAATATTTTATTGAAACGGACAGATGAGTGTTAATAGGTATTCACAGTGGTGAGCACAGTTGATCAAAAAGTTAGCTTCACTTACCACTTATTAGCTAACTAATAAAGTTAGCTTTGCTAACGCTAAAGCACTAAACTGATTTTAAAAATTTATCAGAAGCTAACGCTAAAGCGCTAACTTTTATCATACACTGCTGTCGCTGACACTTTAAGACTGTCTGTATTGTGACAACGTTGTAAGTGAACACAACTCAAAACGGTTCATAAATCAGGTAAAGCGGACCGCTCAGAAGTGAGCTTTCAGAAATTAATCCGGTCCATCAAAACCAAAGAGGCGGAGCAGAACTCTGCTGTGCTGAAGCAGTGATGCATTCAATGTGTGTCGGATGTCTCCCTCATGTCATGACGAATTAACTCACTTTGCCTATCATCTTTGCGATTAACTACTTTTATAAACAGACCACAAAGTTGCTTTGTGTCTTCATCAATATTCTCTCAGTAATAAATATGTTTGTATAAAGATGTGTGAATTCATGTGTGAGAGAGTCACGTCCCAGAGATAGTGTGAGCATTGCAAAGCATGCTAGGTCGAAATTATATGTGCAATTTTCTGACTGTTTACAGTGTTTCTGAGTGTGAAAATAGGTTTTTCCTGTTGTTTTCCTCTTCTGGTTTGGTTTAGCTTTTATGTTGAAGTCTCTGTTATTTGCTATAAACTGACACCACGAGTCAGAGACTGCTTGCGTTAAATATGAGGTGGAAAAGCACAGTCAGGTGGTGCTTAGCTTTGTTTAGCTACACATAGCAAAGCTCTGTGAAAATTACCATTGTACCGTATGATTTCAGTGCGGAGAACTATCTTTTTTTGAAATTATCGGACTTAAATTTACCAGATTTAAATTAGCAGGAGATAATTCTGCTAAAGGTTTTTCAAAGTTAGCAAAAATGCTAATCTGCTACATGGAAGGTTAGCTCTGCTATTAGCAGATTAGTGGGTTAGCCAAACCATGCCCACCACTGTGTATTTGAGTCCTTGATTAGAAAGGACACAAACATGATAAACATTACGTATGCAACGGCAAAGCTCTTAACACTACATAGATTTTAACATTTCTTATAATTTTATTAATTTATATTATATTGTTTATTTTATGACTTTGGAGAAGGTTATTCTCTTACAGCCAATCATGCTATTACATGTGTGTGTAAGTTTCTGTTTGTGTCATTTGCCATCTGTTAGCAAAATATCTCATTAATTACTAGAACAATAAAATTTTTTGATTGCGTTTTTTTATTTTCCGGTAAGCTTTATTCATACAAGTAGTATTGAATCACAAGGACTCATTTTTAAGTAAGTCTACAACTGATCCAACTTTTCAAGTCGTCTCAATTCAAGATGGCTTCCACAGCTATTTGACCTTAGCTAGCATCACAATGGTTCTAACTCACTGAATTGTACAAATATTAATGTAAAATACAGAGTGCTAACCAATCAGTTGAGATCTGTGTTTTAAACTTTTGGAATTAGCCCTCTTTGTTAGCACCATAGTCCATGATAGGATTTTATTGAAACTTAAAGAAAGTAATCGTTGGATGTTAGGAGCCTTTTCCCACAAGACGGGACACGATCCTGGGTCCACATGAATGAGATGAAATTCTATTTAAAGACTATTTTCAAGAAAAAAATGCTTTAAAAAATTGCCACGTTTTTCTGATTATTTTGTCACAACATTCATATAAAAATATAAATGTATCTGTTTATTGTTTACTGTTATTTATCAGTCAGAAAGAACAGAATTTAATAGAAATTATTTAAATAAACTGTTTTGACAGAGTTCTAATGAAAACATTTTATCACAGCCATTCAGAACGGATTAAAAGAATTAGATCAGATTGTCAAATTGTGTCGCCTCAATGTTTGATCTCTTTTCCTCTTAACTCAAACAAATAAGAGGTTTAAACTTATTTTTTCTCTCAAATTTTAAGTAAAACTATCAAAGTTTGAAGTCGACGTTAAGTCTGTCCTGTTTTAAATAAATGTGCAACAGAGATTCTCTTTCAGCGCAATGCTGCAGTGGAACGCTAGTTTATACAAATGATTTAATCATTAAAAATGAATTGGTTTAATGCCAGATGTGACTTAATTTAGCTTTTGGTTCAGCAGAATACTGCACATGTGCTGCTGTTCATCCAAACTGTGGGACGTGTTTTATATATACGGTATGCTGGTGTGGATTCTCAGTCATGCAGGACACGGCGATCCTAACAAATTAAATCAAAGGCAAATGGACTTCTTTTAAATAAAAATTCCAGACGTCTCGCTTGTCGTCTGAGGAGCTTTCTCAATAAAAAAATAAACATTTTAACGGCTTTTCAGATGACAAGCAAAACATGAAGAATTAAAGAAAATGTCCAGACGCCTTAGATCGTTGGGACATTATGGTGGTGACTGGTGTGAACGAATCAAGAACTGCAGACTTCTTGACATCACAAAGAAACGTGACTGTAGATTAACACACGTCTTCCTCCTTTTGTTCTCCTCTTCAGTGTGCTGTTTTGTGGTTCACAAACGTTGCCATGAGTTCGTCACCTTCTCCTGCCCCGGCGCTGATACAGGACCCGCCTCAGATGTGAGTACAAACAAATCCATCGTTCAGAACCTCTAACCTCGTGCCTGACCAGGAGAGCAGGGACTGCAGCTCAAGATCTGTAAAACCATCTGTGTTGGAGCCATTTTTGTGTTTGCTAAGGTTGAGCAGCTGTGGCAGCCATCTTGAACTGGGCTGACTTCAAAAGTTAACTGGGAGTTGTTTTTATTTTTATTTATTTTGAAATCTATCTAGAAGTTCATTAGATATTTTGCTAACATAACAAAGAAATACACATAGCCTAACAGACTGGAGCAAAAACATTATCACCCCTTCGCAATTATCTAGAACAGAGGTTCCCAACCCTGGTCCTTGAGGAACACCATCCTGCACATTTTAGTTGTTTCCTGCTCCAACACACCTGATTCAGTGATTTAATGACGTCCTCGTGTTCTGCAGAAGCCTCGTAATCACCCATCCATTCAAACCAGGTGTGTCAAAGCAGGGAAACAACTAAAACATGCACCATGGTGTTCCTCAAGGACCACGGTTGGGAACCACTGATCTATACTAACGTTATGTTAAAGTCGTCCCTCAGAGCCATGTCGTTTTCGGACGTCAGTTTAAATAAACTTTTTTAAGTTGGTTTCAACGTGCTAAAAAGTTGTCAATGTCATGTTCACATTTCCCCTCTACTAATGTGAAAAGCTTTTAGTAGAAATGCACTTGGCGCGTCAGAATCAGACGATTGTCCTGAAGTCATAGAGAGAAACTGGATCAGCTGGTCAGAGCTGGACTATGATTCAGAACCAGCCTAACCGATACATCACTGCTTGTAAGGCGACGTTCACACTGCAGGTCTTAAGATTCATTTCCCATATTTTGCATAGATCAGATTTTTGTGTGTGTGTAGTCGTTCACATCATCATTAAAAATTGATCTCCATCAGACTCCAGTGTGAACCATTTACAGTTCTGAGGTGACCCGCATGTGCAGAAGAAAACGTGACGCAGCACGCTGTTTAAGGAAGGAGATACAGATGCTACACTTGTTAGCATGTGTACGTCTGAAGTTGTGCAATCAGAACTGATAAATTATTACTTGACATGCTTGTTTTATCCATTGTTTAAATTTAACATTGCCTCTTGATGGATACTACAGTGCAGCTTTGTGTTTTTTTGGAAAAGTTGAGACATACTGAAGGTAGAAACTAACTCAACTATCGATCCTACCACGTTAGTATCAACACTAACATTAGCATATGTTGCTGTAGACTCTCAGTCATCTCGCACATGAACAAGTAAAAGCTCAAAGGGGAAGCAACTGGACTTTTTTTTCTGTAGTTGAAGACGTGCAGTTCTAAGATTTACCGTATTTTCCGCTGTATACGTCGCACCGCTCTATAAGTCACATCAATACAAATATGTCTAATAAAGTGGAAAAATCCATAAATACGTCGCTTCGCCGTATACGTTGCATCTCTTTTGTGTCACCGCTGACAACCCGGAAATGTGGGCCGGTGTTGTGTCAAAAATCGATTGGCTGCCAAATGGCGGCCGCGGGAGTGTGCACGGGAGGACTTTAACAAGAATTTAACAAGATATCCAGCTAAAAACAATTATTTGTTTGCTCAAAATTAAAGTAAAGGTGTGTCTCAGTCTAACTTTTCCTTAATAAATGCACTTTGACGGTCAAATCAGATGCATTTCAAAAGTATTCGCGGCCTTGGTGCTTCAGGAGCGTGCTTTGAAGGAGGAAATCAGGAAGGAGGAAAGCTGCGCATTTCTTCGAAATTTAACAAGGCAAGCACCTAAAACAATTATTTGTTTGCTCGACTTTATAGTAAAGGTGTGTCTCAGTTGAACGTTTACTTAATAAATGCACTTCATTGGTCAAATTAGCTGCATTTCGCCGGAGCAGCGCAGTGAAATGAAGCTGATTTGACGGTTGCTCCAAACGGGCTGGATGAAGGTGGCAGGCTATGGCAAGCCGATTGCATCATTAATAGCCACTTTTACCTACTACGTGACAGTTTGCTTGTGATAAGAAACCCAGAAACAATCTTATCACAAGCAAACTGGTTGCTCCACTATGGGAGTGTGCTAGTTGTGAGATTCAGTTTGTTTGTGGCTCCTCGGATTGATCAAGTCCTTTGGATGAAAGACGAAACGTTTCAACAGAAAAAAAAGGAAAGCGTCCAGATGACCTTACTGAACTTTCTTGGATTTTTTTTTACCAGGATTATTGAGCATGAACTTTGATCTTAGTGATTCTCACTTATGAAGCTTACAAATGTAACATTCATGTTCTTAAAATGCAAACTTGCGTTCTTATATTAAGGAAGATAACTATTCTAACCCTCTCACTGCTGAGTCTGAAACTGCCTATCTTTTATTTTTTTTAACGTTCTGCAGTCATGTCTTCACCTCCCAGAGTGTCCCCTCCATCTGATGAGCAACCCGCTGAGCTGTCTCCAGAGGAAGCGCTTGTGTTTGTCGCTTGACTTTCTGACGGATGCATCTGTGCAGAACGCCTATTCATTATGTTGAAAAAGCACCGCAGTCGTTTTCTCCAACTTCCACCTGACTGCTTTTTGCCTCTCGCTCTTGGTGCACCTATTCAAAGCCCCGTCATGGCAGAAGTGACTAGCAGAGTCCAGATTTAAAACTTAAGCCTTGGTGTGAAAAGAAAATGTGTTCCGTTCACTTCAGATGCAAATTATTAGTTTGGTGCAAATCCACAACAAATGTTACGATAAGGGTAAAATTCATGGCGTGATGCATGTAGCAATTATTTTAGATGTCTGCTTCCCTTTGTCTTCCCTCTCTCGTGTCTACCCTCTGAAACCAGCAGAAGATGTCTCTTTTAATAGTAACTTGAAATGTCACACTGCATCTTCATCATCTCCCATCACTCTTCCTTCCCGCCTCTTCTTTTCTGACACTTGTCCATACTTCTATCTTTGGCTTCCCGAAAGCCTCTTTCTCGCCATCTCAGACCAAAACTCTTTTGTACGCCGTCTATTTAAGTGCCATTCTACCTGGGGATGGTGTGTGTGTGTGTGTAGGGAGGGGGTACCTCTGCTCTTAATTATGATCCTTGCCACCCCCATCATATCATCTCTTTAATGAGTTCATGGCCTTTTGACCTCAGTCCCTGAGAATGTAGGTTAACTCTGCTGACTGGTTGCTCATTTTAATATGGAAGTCAGGAGAAATCACAATTATAGACAGAAGGAAAGGTCTCACAAAGTAAAGCTCTACGTGTAATGACTAGTATTTTGTGTGATTGCGTATTAAACCTACAGTGATGCAGCTTCAAGCCAGAGCTGTCAGTAAGGTTTATTCTACCATCTGTAATGTTGTCATTCTGTCTGCAGCTCTTTAATTCCCTTTTTACGTATCACGTCTCCTGCTCTTTGTCATCTCTGGATGTTTAAAAGAAGAATTCAATTATAGATCTGGGTTAATAGACTGGGCTCCCTGTGGGAGAAGTCGAGGGATGAAATCCTCTAATGAAACCTACATTTTAGGCTCACAACCAGCTGACGGTATAGAACTCAGAATCATGTATGTGTAGACTCAGGTCCTTTTTTTTTATTTTGGGCACCAAAGTGCAGGTGGTGCAGAGGACAGGATATACATAGATGGACTGGATTGCTCATAATAGACAGGTGATTAAGGAACAGTCCACACAAGAACAGTGTTTTGTGAACACACAAGTTATTTTTTTTATGGTTTCAGCCTTGTCTCTACATAAAAATCACGTTTTAGGAGCCACAGAACAGTATGAAATAAAATTACTTTGAAAACCACGGGTGCCACGGCCTCCATACCAAGCAGATGAACCACACAGCCTCTCGTCAGTGCACAGTTGAAAAGCCTCCCTCTCTGGTGGTATAGGGGTGCATTAGTGCCAGCTTACAAATCTGAAAAGGCACCGTCAGTGCAGAATAGGTTTTAGAACAACATACAGTGGTGTTTGAAAGTTTGTGAAGCCTTTAGATTTGTCTATATTTCTGCATAAATACGACCTAAAACATCATCAGATTTTCACACAAGTCCTTAAAATAGATAAAGAGAACCCAGTTAAATAAATGAGACAAACATATTATACTTGGTCATTTATTTATTGAGGGAAATGATCCAATATTACATATTTGTGAGTTGTAAAAGCAAGTGAACCTTTAGGATTAGCATTAATTTGAAGGTGAAATTAGAGTCAGGTGTTTTCAATCAATATGATGATGATCAGGCGTGAGTGGGCACCCTGTTTCATTTAAAGTACAGGGATCTACCAAAGTCTGCTCTTCACAACATGTTTGTGGAAGTGTATCATGGCACGAACAAAGGAGATTTATGAGAACCTCTGAAAAAGAGTTGTTGATGCTCATCAGGCTGGAAACCAGGAACCAGGGGTTTCCTGGTTCCTGGAACCAACCTGGCTCCTCCACTTCTCCAGGTGGTGGATAAAATTGCTTCCTCTACTTGCCAGGATCCGTCACTCTGCACCACCTCGGACAAGCAAAACAAAGAAACTACATCTGTTCATATACACAGTGTAACTTCTACCCACTTGAATATCTTGCATCAAAAACTTTAAGATTTACTTGTTTAACTCTCGTCTCAAAAGCTATAACCACTGACTATTCAAGTCCCTCAGCGACGGGGGACATCATCTTGTTACATCTTTATGTGAGGTCCAAGTTTTTATTGGGGCTGTCAGACTTTCCTTTAGAATTCATATCTAGATTTTCAACATTCACTTGTTTTATGTAAAAAATAAAACTTACAGAATTAGAATCAGCCTTTATTGTACCACCAAAGTCCATGCTCAATAAGCCAGGTGTAAAATCCAACAATGTTCAGTTAGGTCATCTGGATGTTTTTTTTTTTGTTTGTGCTGAGACATTTCACCCTCCATCCAGAAGGCTTCATCAGTCTGAGGAAACACCAAACAAAACTGCTTCTCCCTCAACAACCTACTCCAAAGTGGGAAAAAAAATAGTTATGTTGGTGCTAAGATGGTCTCTGGGGCACGCC